CTTTCTTTCTTTCTTTCTTTCTTTCTTTCTTTCTTTCTTTCTTTCTTCCTTCCTTTCTTTCTTTCTTTCTTTCTTTCTTTCTTTCTTTCTTTCTTTCTTTCTTTCTTTCTTTCTCTTTCTTTCTTTCCTTCTTTCTCTCTTTCTTCCTTCATTCCTCCCTCCTTTTCTTCCTTCCTCTCTCTCTGTCTCTCTCTGTCTCTCTGTCTCTCTTTGTCTCTGTCTCTGTCTCTCTCTCTTTCTTTCTCCCTTCCTTCCTTCCTTCCTCTCTCTGTCTCTCTTTCTCTCTGTCCGTCTCTCTCTCTCTCTGTCTCTCTGTCTGTCTCTGTCTCTCTTTCTCTCTCTCTCTATCTCATCTCCTCTAACTCTACATCTTGTCAGTATGGGTCTCTGCCCTCCCCTCCCTACCCAAGGCTCTTGCCCTTCCTCTGTCCTTTGTTCTCCCACCTCTCTCCCTTTTCTTCTCCTCCTGTTCCTCCTTTCATTTCCATCTGCTCTCGCGTCTTTAAGCTTCTCTGCTCCTTTGGGCTCTTTCCCCTGCCAAGGAGGGGTGGGCAGAACCACAGGCTGTCTGTTGCCGCCTCACTGCCTTCCTGTCCAGGACTTGCCTTTGCTGTGGAGCCACCAGTGACTGATGAGCCCCTGCCACGTGTATCTAGACTATCTTCTCCATCCATGGCTCTGTCTCCTTAGATGCCTGACTTTGGGTCCTTGCCCAGTAGGTTTTCCCTTAAACTTATCTGGTCTGTCCTGTGTCCTCAGTGCATTTTCCCTAGAAAGTTCCCTAGCTAAATAAGAGAAGACCCCCATCCCAAATGCAAAAAGGGTGAGTGGAAAATCTTACATTTTATTTTTGTATTGCTGTCCTGTGTCCCCTGACTCCCAGCTGCATTGTTTTCTACCATACCTGGGATGGAAGAGATTGGGTCTGGGAGGAACCGTGTTACAGTTGAGGAAACTAAGGTTAAGACAAAGAAAGGTAGCATGGTAAAGCAGAGAGAGCTCTGGAGTCCGAGGACCTTTGTTCAAATCCCACCCCTGAGGCTTATCACCTGGGTGATCTTAGGTAAGTCACTTAACCACTCTGAGTCAATGTCAGATAAGAAGGGTTGGGCTAGATGGCATATAATAGCCAATCCAGCTCTAGACCTATGCTGCTGTGAAGAAAGGGTCTGGCACAAATGCCAGCAAGGCAGTAGATCGTCAGATTCCTTGTTTGGGACTGTCCTGTGAAGTGGGCAATGAGTGTATTATTATTCCTACCTTACAGATGAGGAGATCGAGGCTCAGAAAGGGGAGGTGACCTGCTTCTCCTCTCCCATACCCCCTTCCCCATTCTAGTCCCTCATCTTCCTGCACCAAGATAATCATAATTCACATTTTTGACCATTTTCAAGAGTACCTTCCTCTACGACGTGGGTAATAGCTTCTGCTCAGATTTCTATAGCATTTTAATATTCACAAAACACATTCCTGGCAATAATTTTGCAAGGGAGGAAACTGAGGCATCAAGAGTTTATTGGACTTGTCCGAGGTCATACAACTAGTTAGCACCAGGGCCAGAACTCTATCACAGGGCTTCTGACTCCCAGGGCAGTCTGACTTTCATTACAACAAGTTTCTTGTAGCCAAGTAGAAGTGTTTCCATTTTACATATGAGGAAACTGAGGCTCAGAACATTTAAGTAACTTGGTCCCCTTCCCCCAACGTACTCCTTCCCCTTTTCTTCCCTTTCTCACTCCTCCCCTATAATAATAGCTAACACTTCTACTGAATCCAAAGATTCCCAAAGCATTTTTTCTGAAAACAATAACTTTGTTTTTTTAATCCTCACATTTAAAGCTGAGGCAAAGAGAGTAAAATGATTTACCCATCTAGGAGCAGAAAATTCTCAGAGGTGGATTCCAATCCAGATCTTTTTGCTTTGTTCCTTGCTCCCCTCCCCCATTTCTCTTCTTGCCTCACCCCTCATGGCCTTGCCTAGGCTCCTTCCTCACATCACCCCCACCATTGACCTTGACTGCTCAGAGCCCAGAATTTGAGGCTCTCTCTCTCTGGGACTGCCTCTCCTCCGCTCCCAGCCTCCCACTCACCTTGGAAAGGCTGCTCCCCGCTGCTGCTGCTGCTGCCGCTGCTGCCGCTGCCGCTGCCGCTATAAACCAGGGCAGAAGCCACCTCATCCCTGGAAGCCAGAATTAGATACATTGATTGAACCCAGACTCCGAGCCCAGCTCCGAAGGGAAGCACCTTTTTGGGGAGGTTGGGACCAGTCCTGGTCTGGCAGATACACATAGCCAGATATGCCTTCTCCCCCAGGCCCTTTGGGGGTTTTTATTAAAGACAGATCTGACGTCAGGGTGAAAGACAAGCCCCGCATTTTCCTCTGAAGAAACTTTTCCTGCCTTCTCTCTCTCTCTCTCCCTCTCTCTCTCTTTTCCCTCCCTCTCTTTCTGTCCCCACCTCCTGCACTCTCTTGTTTTTGGCCTTAAAGGGGAAGTTACAGGGCCATCATTTCCCACTTGGGGCTGAAATGCCTAGGGAAGGAGGTTCCCTGTCCCTTGACTGGGTCTTTCTTGCCGACAAGGTGACAAGAGCCAACACGGGGAGGGGGAGGAGACAGAAGATAAGATTACAAGGAGTCATTTTCACATAGCTCCCAGTTAGAGAACAAAATCGTCTTCATTCCTTAGATCTTTCCCTTCTTCTGGTTTTCATTTGTCATCCCTCATTCTGCTTAACCTTTGAGAGAGAATGAGAAAGACCTTTCCCACCAACTAAGAAAATGATAGGAATTCCCTAGAGCAGGAAAACAGTTTAGGGCAACCCGGATTCAGGAGAGACTAGACACTGTCTTAGAAAGCTCTGGACCTGAAGTCAATTGAGACATGATGTCTCATCCTGGCTCCCGAATTTTACTAACTGTGTGACCCTGGCATTGTCTTTCCTCAAGTCTCAGTTTGTTCATTTGTAAAATGGGGACAATCATACTTGTATTAACTACCTTACAGAGTGGTTGTGAGGAAAGCGCTTAACAAACTTTTTAAAAAAAATTTACCAGACCTTCCAATTCCATCATTTCAGGGAACTCCAGGTGAGGAAACGCCCTTTACTAATACTGATCAGTAATTAATTGCTTTGTAAATTATGGTTCTAGAGAGTGACTTGGGGCACTGAGAGGTTTAGTGATTTGCTCAGGGTCACACAGTCAAGCAAGAGCCAAAGAGGGAGGGTTGGGTTTGGAGTTAGGAAGACCTGGGTTGAATCCATCTCAGACACTTTCTAGTTGTACGACCCATGACAAATTATTTAATCTCTCTGGTTTCCTTACCTGCAAAATGAAGGAGTTGGATCCGATGACCTCTAAGGTCCCCTTCCACTTCTAAATTGATGATCCTAAGAATCTAGGTTGTCCTGACTCCCAGGCTAATCCTCTATCCTCCAGTCCACAAAGCTTCTCTTAGTAGACCTTCAACGGCTATGAAAAATGTCAGATTCTTATTCAGGATCCAGAAAATGTCTCACCTACTCAGAAGCTAGAACATCCTGATGATAAAACATGGCTCAGGTTTGGTTTTTATAGCTGACCCTTCAGGATCACAGAGCAAGTCACACCTTTGACCCTCACAACAATCCCAGGACAAATATGGTCCTTATTTTATAGAGGAGGTAGCAGGCTCAAGGGTGCAGAGTGGCAGAGACAGGAATCACACCCAAGTTTTCTGATTCCAGGTTCAGGGCCTTCCACTCCTCAATAGTCAAAAAACATTTATTAAGTGCCTACTGTGTGCCAGGCATTGTGTTAAGCACTGATAGCACTCCATAGTTGCAGTTACAGGTGTAGTGTCTGAGCCAGTCCTATTTGTTATTGTTCATGCAAGTCTGAGTCTTTGTGCCCCCATTTGGAGTTTTCTTTTTTTTTCTTTTTTTTTTTTTTGGTTGGGCAATGGGGATTAAGTGACTTGCCCAGGGTCATATAGGTAGTAAGTGTTATGTGTCTGAGTCAGATTTGAACTCAGGTCCTCCTGAATCCAGTTTTAATACTCTTTATTTTTATTTTATTTTATTTTTTTTGTGGTGAGGCAATGGGGTTAAGTGACTTGCCCGGGGTCACACAGCCAGTGTCTCAACCCTCTTCCTTTTTATGTGTCATCTTCTCTCATTAGAATATACTTCTTTCTGCTTGGATTTATATTTTCAAAGATTACCATAGTACCTGACTAGTCAAAAGAATTTAATGTATGCTTGTTGGCTGGTTGACTTCCAACTCCAGTTTTTGAGACCCTGAATAGGAATAGTTTGAAGGTTTTGTTAACGTCGAGAAATGATAGTTGGGGAAACTGAGACTTTGGGAGGTCCAATCCAAGGCCACACAAGAAGCAAATCCAGAGCTCTTTCTCCTATATCATTCTGATGTGGAAATTGTTTTAGAGACATTAGAAAGACTTACCCATGGTTATCCTTCTATAAGTATCAGGGACTCAAAAATAGGTCTTTTGGCTCCTATATCCACTAGATGGTAGTGCTTCCCTGATGCTAATCATTTTTATGCATTTGTGTAGTACTTAATAGTTTACCAAGTACTTTCACATCCATCATATCATTTAATTCTCATGACAACCCCTGGGGTAGGTAGGTGGTATTGGTATCTTTATTCCCATTTTATAGATTAGGAAACTGAGACTTCATGGAGGTGGAATGCCTCACCCCATGTAAGTCTGCCTTGATACCGGACACTCAGCTCCAAGTGCTCTGAATCTGGTACTCTCTGAGGAAGGTTTCCACTTGTCCTTTCTCCCAGAGAAGGTTCAGCCCCAGTTTAAAGGAAACATCAGAAAAACAGGCAGTTGAGACATCTGCACACTGTGGGCCTTCCTCCTGGCTTTGCAGTCAATGCACAGGGACAGCTGTCCCCTCTGCCCATGGCGGAAGGCTGCCTCTTGTGATGGCCCTGAATTCAGCTTTCTCAGGCTCTGAAACAGCAAGGGCCTGCCTAATGAGATTCGCTCATAATTTCTCTAAGTGTATCCCCATTCTTCCCTGTGTTGGAAACAACTTGAATCAGGTGTCTTTCCTATATCGTAGCTATGTTCTGTCCTATATTACAGCTGCCCACTGCTTGTACTTACAGATGAGGAGAATAATAATAATATTTATGAAGCGCTTTCTGTGTGTAAGCCACTGTGCTAAGTGCTTTATAGTTATCATTTCATTTGAGCCTCTCAACAACCCTAAGAGGTAGGTGTTATTATTATACCCATTTTACAGATGAGGAAACTGAAGGTTAAGTGACTCGTTCAGGGTCACATAGCTAGTAAGTGTCTGAGGGCAAATTTGAACTCTTCCTGACTCTAGGCCCAGCACTCTATCCACTGTACCCCCTAGCTGCCCTAATTAGAATCCAAACTACCAAGAACTCCCATAGCCTTCAGTATCCATGAGTTTCCCAGGAGCCCCTTGGTGCTCAGCCAATCACTCAAAGGGAAGGCTTCTATTTCTCCAAGGGGCCAGAGTACCCTCAGGATGGAGTTTCTGCACGAGACTTTTGCTACTCTCTTCCCCTCTCCTCCCAGCACCTTTCCTCTGAGACCATTGCCCCCTTACCTTGTACATATCTTGTAGGTACATAGTTCTTTGCATGTTATCTCTCTCATTAGAAACTCCTTGAAAAAAGGGGTCAGACTTTTGTTTTTCTTTGTAGAGAGCTTAGCACAGTGCCTGGTACATAGTAAGTGCTTAATAAATGCTTATAGTTTGACTGACTAATTGATGGTGCCTTGAGTACACAGGGATCTGTGCCAAGACAGCAATCCAGTTGGATTGAATTTAATTTTATTCTATTCCATTTACATTTATTAATGACCTTAAAGGTCTAAGTCACTGTTCTGGATCTATGAGGGATGTTGTTTAGTCATTCAGTTGTGTCCGACTCTACATGATCCCATGGAGTTTTCTTGGCAAAAGCCTTTTCCTTCTCCAGTGTGTCTCCGTTTTACAGAAGAGGAGACTGAGGCAAATAGGAGTTAAGTGACTTGCCCAGGGTCATACAACTAGTACATGTCTGAGGCTGGATTTGAACTCAGATGTTCCTGACTCCAGGCCTGGAGCTCTATCCACTGCACCACCAACTGCCCCTAGGCAGATTACAAAGATGAAAAAGACTCATCCCTGACAAAAAGAGAGGAGAGAAATGTCTGTGATACAAAGAACAAGATAAATGTCTATTCAGGATGGTTCTTTTTCCTCTGATCTTGCTGGTTGGAATGGGGGTGAAGCAAGCTTGCCCAAGTAGGCCCTGGTACAAACCAACCAGTTTAAAGGAGACGGGGTGGGGGAAGTATCTATATTAATGAACTCGTTAGAGTGTGAGGGCCATGACAGTAGGTTTCTCTTTTGGCTCATTGGCGTCCTCTTCAGGGCCTCTTGAGATGCTGTATAAACTCAATGCTCACTGACCAGGCCAGAATGTTTTTTTTGTTTTTTGTTTTTTTTTGGTGTGGTGAGGAGGACAAAAAGAGAAGGAGAAGTCTCCCTTTCAATTAGAGTTATCCGGCAGCCTGATGGCATTTAGTGAAATAATCTTATTCCTCTACTTAGGAAGCAGCTTGAAGAGTGCTGGAATTTAAGGGAGGAGGTTTGGATTTTAAGTTCTGGCTCTTCCATTTACTGCTATGTGACCATGGGCAGTTCACTTACCCATTCTGAGCGGTGGTTCCCTCATCTGTGAAATAGGAACAACTACCAACCTTCCGGAGCTGCTATGAAGAAAACTCTTTGGATGCAGAAACACGAGCTACTAAGAAAAGGAAAAAGAAAAAGACCAGTGAGATTCTCAGAGATAGGGTAACAAGAGAATCTTTCCTCAACTCCTTTGACTTCAGGACAGATAGGAGAATCTCTTGGTTTTTTGTTGTTGTTGTTGTTTTGTTTTATTTTTATTGAGGCAATTGGGGTTAAGTGACTTGCCCAAAGTCACATAGCTAGTGAGATTACACAGACACATGTCTGAGGCTGGATTTGAATTCAGGTCCTCCTGACTCCAGGGCTGGTGCTCTATCTACTGTGCCACCTAGCTGCCCTGAATCTCTTGTTTTTAAAAGACCCCACAGCCACCTGTAGCCATCCAGGCACAAGATCATAAATTGAGAGCTGGAAAGGGATCTTAGAGGACATCTAATCCAAC